GCTATATAGCCCAGGCTGGCATCGAACTCATGGTGATCCTCCTGACTCAGCCTCCTGAGCGCACCACTATGCTTGGCTGGGACGTGCTTTGAGTATAAGATGCTCAAAGTTTGTAGACTTGGTGAAAAGAAGAACTGTAGATCCAAATGCACATCTTGAGTAAACACTTGAAAAATAGGAAATGTAAAGTATCTCTTTAATAGTTTTTGTATTGATTTCCCGGCAAAAATGATATTTTGGGTATGGCATTTAAAATATACTATTAAAATTAATTTTACTTGTTCCTCTTAGCTCCCTCTCTTTAAGTCCTCTGTAGTACTGGAATTCAACCCGGGGTCCTGACACTGAAGTCCCCTGGAAAATGTTTTCATTGTGAAGTCCAGAGTGGCAGCACTCACCTGTAACCTCAGCGCTCTGCGAGGCTGAGGCAGAGGATTGCAAATTTGAGCCTTAACAACATTAAACCAGACTTGGTGGCTCATGCCCGTAATCCCAGCACTCGGGAGGCTGAGGCAGGAGGATCGTTGCGAGTTGGAGACCAGCCTGGGCTACAAAGTGAGCTCAAGGCCTGAGCTGCACAGGGAGACCCTGTCTCAGAAGGACAAAAACAATGTAGCTAGACGCTATCTCAAAAACAGGGTCTAGCTGGGCCAGGGATGTAGCCCAGTGAGAAGGCCTTGTGTTCAATCCTTAGTACTGGGAAAAATAAATTTTTTTGAGATAAGGTCTACCCAGATTGTACCACACCCTACTCCTTTTGACTATTCTTTTAAAAATGTGGCCGGGCGTGGTGGCGCATGCCTATAATCCCAGCAGGGAGGCCGAGGCAGGAGAATCAAACCCTTGAGGCCAGCCTGAGCCTGTGAAGTTCAGTGAGACCCAGGCTCAGAAGTATAAGAAAGGTGGCGAGGGACGAGGGCGCGGGGCGTGGAGCACAGTGTTAGGGCCCTGGCCTCCCGTGTGCAAGGCCTGCGCTCCTCCCCCACACTGGAGGGAAGAATGGAAGTGTGACTCCCTCGAAATTTCTTCGAGCAGTGGGGGCTCTGGAGAAAAAGTAGAATGGACCATGGAGGTGCATGGGAGTGGCGGGTGCGCTGCCCTTTGTGCTCCAGAGAAAGACAAAAGTGCCGTCTCCGGCTTGCTTGTTTAACCTATCTCTGGAATGATGCACCAGGAACAATGTTGGCTGCTGCTGGAGACAGGCTGCAGTCTGGAAACGGGGCTGACTTTCGAGTTCTAAACCCTTTTGTAAATTTTTGAGCCAAGACTTCTAAGCATTTTGGACACTATTCACTGGTATTGTTTATGTATTACATATTATTTATCTGACCATGCTTTAAAAGTGTTTAATAGAGTGACAGTGTCCAGAGAGCCGCTGGAGAAATATGCCTGTTCCCAGGCACTAAAAAAGATGAGAACACTGCTGGCAGTGGTGGTGCAGGCTGGTAAATCCCAGCACTCTGGGAGGCTGAGTCAGGAGAATCCCTGCAAGTTCAAGGTCAGTCTGGACTATATATTGAGATCCTGTCTCAAAAAAAAAATGTGTGTGTGTGTGTGCGTGTGTGTTCCTGGGATGTAGCTCAGTGCAAAGGCCCTGCTTGGGTTCAATCCCAAGTACCACAAGGAAAAAAAAGAAGAAAAAAAGAAAAACAGATAAAACACACAAGAATCTATAGCTAGGGACAACGCGGGGAATGTTTTGGGGACAAGAAAAACTGGTTAACTTATTCTCTATTTTTCACTGTGTACCATCTGACTGTTCTGTAAAGAGAATGTCTAACTTCTGCAATTCTAAGAAAAAATAACCAGAACAAAATATACCAAATGTTCATAATAGCTGTCTTTAGATAATGAGATTATGGGTGATTTTTTCTCCTTTCTTTCAAAATTTTCCAAATTCTATAAATAACACTCTTACTTTTGTAATGAAAAAACCCAAAACCCTTTCTTTTCACTATAGTTTCTTTCAAAGAAAGACTTTTAAGATTTCATTAGTCTTTTAAAGAATTATCTTCATTGCTTTTTAAAATGATAGCAAGAAATACAGGTTCTTTATAAAATGTCAAACTCAGAAAGATAAGTGGGAAAGTCTTTCACTCTTTTTATTTTTATAGAAAATAAGAGAGTGAAAAATTTTGAGACAGTGTCTCACTATGTAGTTCAGACTAGCCTTGAACTCATGAAATCCTCCTGCCTCTGCCTCCTGAGTGCTGGGGTTAAAGGTGTGCATCACCATGTCTGGCTTTCACTCTCTTTTAACATTTTAACACATTTTTTAATCTTTTTTTTTTTTTTTGGTACCAGGAATCAAACTCTGGACCTTGTGCTTGCCAGGCAGGCACTTGTGCTGCTGAGCTATATCCCCAGCAACTCTCTTTTAAAAATTAAAAAAAAAAACAACTTTTTTAACCAGTGGGGATTGAACCAAGGGCCTTTGCACTGAGCTACATCCCTAGCAAAATATTTTTTAAAAATTTTTAAAAAAGTTTTTGAGACAGGGTCTTGCTAATTTGCCCAGGCTGGGCTCAAACTTGCCTCTCAGAGTGCTGGGATCACAGGCATGTGCCGCCTCACCAGGAGAAGCCACTTGTAACCTCGTCCCCTTCACAACTACTATGCTCTGAGACTGTAAAAATATTGCGGTTATATTCAGAGTCTAAAAGTGATTTAAAATTGACTGCAGAGGCTGAGGACTGGAGCGCACTGTTTACACAGCGCTCTACCTGCGTCTTGTCGCTGAAGGAAACCAGCCGGTCTCTAGGGCAGATTTGTTTTGTTTTCTGTTTTTGAGACAGGGTCTCAGCTTTGCAGTGCAGGCTGCCTCAGCCTCCTCGGTGCTGGGATTACAGGCCTGAGCCACGTCCCGGCTGGGGCGGACCTGGTGCTCCAGTGGCTGTGCTCCGCTGGTTAACAAGACGCCTAAGCCCCGAGGTGGTAACTAACAGGCAGGGCTGGCATTCAACTCCAAGGCCAAGAGGCCCAGCTAAACGCCGCAAGCCCCAGGGCCACTGCCACTGCGGTGGGTGGGGCTGGGGGCTGGGGGCCGGGGGCCGGCAGACTTGAGCTCCTGACTGGGACCAGGTGCCTCAGCAAGGAGTTCTGAGTTGGGTGATAAGGGCCAGAATCCTGACTGGGGAGGAGAAAATAATAAGCAGCCATTTGGGGGATGACGGGGAGGGCGTTTCACAGTGGTCACCAGGGGCGGGGCCCTGCGGGGGAGCAGTGGGGGCTGGGCGCTCCGGAGAGAATCTGCACCCAAAGGGTGAACCAGGCCGGAAAGCCGCAGAGAGAAGCTGCCACCAAAGGCTGCCTTGGGCCCTTCACCTCCCCCACTGCCAGGGCCGGACGGGCAGATGGGACTGATTGCTTTGGGATTATTTGAAGCCCTGGGCCCCAGGTGAGCTGGCGGGGCGGGGTAGGGGCACAGTGGGATCGGCAGGACTGAAGCCCCACCCTCTTGCCTGTGGGGCTCGGAATTAGGTGCCCTGGGATAGGGCCCCTGGCCCCGCACTGATGCCCTTCAGAGCCAGGCGCACTTTGGGACCCGGAGATGATCCCCGAGCCTGAGGGATGCTCTGGGGGGACACAGCCTTCGGAGAAAGTGGGGCCTTTCCGGCGGGAACTGGGCCTGCAGCAGATTGCGGGGGGCGGGAGGCAGAGAGTCACTTTTCTGCCTGCCCGGTTCTCCCTGTCCTGCAGGGTGGGGTGAGGAGAGCTGCCTCAGGCTGAAATGCATTTTAGGGTTCAGAGAGCCCCAAAGAGATGGGTATGGGGGCGTGTGTCAGTAATCCGAGCGCTCTAGGAGGCTGAGGCAGGAGGATCATGAGTTTAAGCACAGCCTGGCCAAGTTAGTGATTTAGTGAGACTGTTTCAAAATAAAAAATAATTTTAAAAGGGCTGGAGATGTAGCTCCATGGGAAGGAAGGCCCTGGGTTTATCCCCAGGCCTGAAAAAAAGAACAAAACAATCCACCAGAGCGCCGCAGTCTTTCTCTAACCAGTCATCTATGGCCAGTTTCTAGGGTTCAGCTTTTTTATCTCCCCCTCCCCAAACCTGGCCACACACTTCTCCCTTCGGCCTTTCTAAAACCCTCCCCTCCCCTCCCCCCAAACTGTTTGGAAATCTTTCCACTTTCTTTCAAGTTTTCGCTGGGCAGTTTGGGGTCTGTTTCAGAGCTGGGTCAGGGCACTTTAACACCCCCAGCTGGGGAGAGTGGATAAGACAATAGCTGCTATCACTTTACCATTGGAAGTGACCCCCGAATTTGCACTTCTTTCATCTTGGGACCAGAGCCCTGGAGGGTGGGCGATTTCCTGGGGGGAGTGGCTTAGGCTGCTTCCCCACCGGCCAGTTGGCTGTAGACTGTGGCCCGGTAGCCGTCCACGCTCAATGGCCCACCACAGACATGAGGCTGGCGCTGGGGTGAGAGGCGCTCCTCTGGGGACGCGCCCGGGGAAGGCCCTCCCCCGCAGGCCGGCGTAGATGTTCCCGGCTGGAAGGTGGACAGCATAGTGGACGCCCCCAGGGCTCTGGGCCGCCCTCGAGGTCAGTGAACGAGGAGGTTTTCTCTCAGGTGGAAAGGGCGAGTGCCTCGTGGCTCTTGCAGGCCTCAGGGAGTGGGGGACGACCTGGGAACCCCCAAAGGGACAGGTCTGGGAGCGCTCCCGCGAGGATGCTGTGTGTTCCCTTCCCGCAGTGAGACCAGGCTTTGTTCTGAGGGCCCTCCCCACCGCCCCTCCCCACCCATACAATGGTTGGGCCTCAGCGCCTGCCCAGGCTGCGGGAGCTTCCCAGGTGGGTCCCCTGTCCCCGGAGCCCCAGGCCGGCCAGCCCTCTCCTTTGCCACCTGGCATCCCCAGGGCGGTGGCCTGTGCTGCTTCTGCCTCACTTCCAGACACGTGGCTCAGAAGAGCAACTGAACTTGGAAGTCCTGGGGATCGCTTGACCTGGTGGCCTCAGGCCTACCCTGGTGACCCCAGGCGCACCCGCTCGCTGCCCTTGGGGTGGTGGGATCTCCCCTGGGAAGTCACGCCGGCCGACTACGGGTCAGCCCCAGGGGCCGCCCATGCCCGCTGGGCCTCCCGGCCACAGAGACCAAACCAAGATGGCTGGCAGCCCTCAGCCCTGGCGGGTGCAGAGCCAGTGCCCGGGGAGAGTCCCGGCCGACAGCTCTCGGCGGCCTGAGACTTGTGTGGCCCTCAGACCTGCTGGGTGTGGCTGACCACGGAGACTGCAGGGAGGGGGAGGAGGCCCAGGAGAGCCCGGCAGTGGGGAGGGAAGCTGGGGAGGGCCGGGAGCCCCGTGCCAGCCAGTCTCCTGCCCCTGTGCTCCTCCTGATCCCCGGCTCAGCCCTGCGAAAGTGCTGGGGACCGAGGCCAGAAGGGGGCTCCGAGACTGCCGTTGCAGCAAGGGAGACGGGGCGGGACCCGGCCTTGGGAAGCGGAGGCCGTGTTGTTCCTTCCTTCCCTGTCTCCAGAGTCCTTCCCGGGTGCTGAGACGCTGGCTGGATCCTCTCGGGGTGCCCTGACTTCCCTCCCCAACATCAAGTGGGGAGCAGGGCTCCTGTGTACTCCGAGGGGCCCTGCCTGGGGCGTCCTGCCTCCCCAGCGCCCGTCCAGGAGGTGTGGGTGAGGCCAGCATGCAAAGTCCGCAGATCAGCCTCCCTGTCCGCGCCTCGTGCCCCGCGTGCCCACCTGGCAGCAGCCCTGTCTGCTTTGCATCGCACCTCCAGGAAGGGCGCAGCACCTGAGCCGCATCAGCAATTGTCTGCTTAAGGCCGAGGCCTCCCCGCAGCCCTGCCCCTGCCACGCCGCCCGGCCTGGTGGTCAAGCCCTGGCTCGGGCTCGGCGGTGGGTGTAGACGCTGGGGAGCCGCTTTTGCCCAGCAAGTTTTGAGGAAGCCGAAGTGGGGCATTACCTGCTCACACCGCCGCTCACCTCTGTGGGGAAGAGGAAGGGGTAGGGTGGAGCCCGCCGGGAGTCAGGAGCGGCGGAGGGCAGAGGGGGACGAGCAGGGCGGGGAGGGGTGGGGCGTGTGCAGCAGGAAGTGGGATAACTGCACGCTGTGTTGGAAACGCTGAAGCCGCAGCATCAGTACAGGCAAGTCGGTTCTGCCTTCCTGGGCCTCGGTTTCCCTCTGAAATGACCAGCTTCCTCAGTGCCGAGAGCTCTCCAGGTGGGGAGAATCTGGGGTGATGGAATTACAGTGCTCAGGAGAGGACACTGGGGTTTTGCTCCTTTTTGGGGGGTTGGACACAGGGCCTCTACGTTGAGCTACATGCTCAGGTGCTTTTGTTTTTGAGATAGGGCTTTGCTAAGTGGCCTGGACTGGGCCTGACTTTGTGATCCTCTTGCCTCAGCCTCTCAGAGTGCAGGGTTACAGGTGTGCACCACCGTGGGCATCTGGTTTGTAGCTTTTAATAGCTGGGCGACTCCCGAACTTCCCTCTGCACAGGTATGGGGTAGGGACCTGCGTGAGGGCCGGGGTGGCGGATGTAGTTCGTGCACACGGAGGGGAGGGCCCCGCAGAAACACAGCTCCCTGAGAAGCCTGCAGTCCAAATGGTCACCCTCTCGAGCGCCCAGGCATTTGTAACCACCTGAAGGGGCGTCTCGTCCCCATGGAAAATGAGCTGCTTGAGTGGAAGGAGCTCGTCTTCGCTTACACAACTTGAATCTGTTGTTTTCTCCTGTTCCCCCACCCCACAGGACTTTTGTTGAATTACCTGAGCTCAATGCAATAGGGAGTAGTCAGTAAATGGTAGTTGTTTTCCTGATTTTATTTCTGGGTTTTTGGCAGAGCACGCATATGTAGCTGGGATAACAGTGTTTAACAAGTGACATCGTGTAAGACAAACAGAAAAAGTACATCCTGTTTATCGGGATGACTGTCAGAATGAAAAGTGCTTTGTGTGACGTTTGTTCGAGATTTAATTTTTTTTTGAGATTTAATTTTTTTATTGCATATGTAAAGGGTTCTCTTTCCTAAGGACTGATAAAAAATCTTATCTCCCGAATCCAAAGAAAAGTAATAAATTTTTTGTTACTGTTGCTTTTTTATTTTTTTCCTGTCTTTTTGAGACAGTTTCACTGTGCTGTTCAGGCTGACCTTGAACTCACTTTGCAGCCCAGGCTGGCCTCCAACTTCCAGTGAATCTCCTGCCTCAGCCTCAAGTGCTGGGATTGGATTATAGGCAAGTGCCACCATGCCCAGAAAGTGTCTTTTTTGGGGGGGTGTGAGACAGCGCCCCACTCTGTAGTCCAGTCTGGTCTTGAACTCACTATGTAGCCCACCTGGCCTCAAACTCACAGCAACCCTCCTGCGCTGGCTTCCCGAGTGCTGGGATTACAGGTGTGCGCCATCACACTTGGCGAGACAAGTTTTTTTAAAAAAAGTAAAGTGCATAACAGATGAACAGAAAAACCCAAATCCAGGTAAAATAATATAGTACAAGGAGAAATTTGGTGAAAAGTTATACCAAATTTATCGTTTTTTTTATTTTTTCTTTGAGACAGGGCCTAGCTATGTAGCCCAGGCTGGCACTTTTGACAATCCTTCTGCCTTAGCCTCTCAGGTGCTAGGATTACAGGCATGCATCACCACGCCCCAGTGGATTTGTTACTATAATAGACATTTTAAGGAGATCTACAGCTGAGAAACTTTATCCAAAGGTGATTCTGATTACCAGTGTTTTAAAAATGCCTGTAATCCCAGCACTCGGAAGACAGAGGCAGGAAGAGTGACTCAAGTTCAAAGCCAGACTGAACTACATAGCAAGACCCTGCCTCAAAAACAAACAAACAAAAAAACAACTTGCCTCTATGATTATCAAGTATAATTCTGAGAAGTATTTCCTTGGTGCTTTTCAGGGTTTTTTTTACTGAATCACAATACAGTCAAAAATTGTGTGAGGGGAGTGTTGGGATTCGAACCCCGAATTGTGCATATGCTAGCCAGCTGCTCCTCTCTTTTGAATTTTTGAGGTAGGCTCTAGCTGTGTGGCCTTGCCTAGCCTGGCCTTAGGCTTGTGAGCCCCTGCTTTAGCCTCCTGAGTGCCGGGATACAGGGCTGTGCCACCATGCCCAGCCCAGACACATCCTTTTAAGTGTACAGTGGATGAGCTGAAAAATGCAAACACTAAATACAGTGTTTACACGTAAGGCTAATCGAAAGAAACATACAGACGTTCCTCCTAACAAGGAGGCCGTTAATGAACTGGCTGCTAAGTGAGGAGCTGCTTCTAGGATGTACAGTGCCCAGAACAAAGCAATGGCACCTTGATGACTCCGCTTTCATTTGCGTAACTCCTAGAGGCAGTGCCGTACTGTGTAACAGCACAAAACGGCAGTACTGCGCTGCACAGTACTCTCAGGCAGGGACCGGACGGTAGAAGCAGCCACCGCGGGCCGCTCCGCCGCGCACGGTCCTGCCTCTGCGTCTCAGTCGTGAACCCGAATTCGGGTCCTGAGTCCAAACAGCCCTCAACGGGCAGGTCGTGAAACGAGGACTATCTGTGCTGGAGTCTGAGAAGAGAGACCTGGGGAACCGGATCGGGCAGTGGTGGCCGCTCGGGTGTAAAAGCAGTGCCAGAGAGGAAGGCCACTGCGTCGCAGCTGGGCCCTGGAAGAGGGTGATTAGTTTGTGTTGAAGGGGCCGAGGGCTGACACCGAGAGATAATGCCCGGCAGCTGAGGGAACATTTGGTTTCAGCTACTGATCTGTGGGGCTTTGGGAAGGCTAGGCCCTCAGTCGCCTCGGTTTCTGCCCTGTGAGTTGGAGACAGTGGTAGGTCCCGTTCGAGTCCTGCTGTCGGGGTTAGGGCCGTGCACGGCCAGGAGGAGACGTGGCTGAATCCGGGTTGTCAGACTGGCGGGCCCTGCGGTGGGCTTGCTGCCCTTCCGAAGAGACTGTCTTCATTCCAGGACATTTTTGGTTTCAAGATCTCTTTCTGCTCTTAAAATCTGAGGACTTTGAAAAGCTTTTGTTTTGCTTGTCAGTGTATTTTCTATTCGAAATTAAAACTGAGGGACAAGGCATGTTGTTTTTTTTTTTGGATTTTGGTTTTTTTCCAGTGCCTGGAGTCGAACTCGCAACTTTGCGCTTGCCAGGCAGGCGCTGTGCCGCTGAGCTAAATCCCCAGCCCCTAAGGCATGTTGCTTGGTAGCTCACCTGCCTGGCAATTGTGAGGTCCTGGATTTGGGTCTCAGTCCCCACCCCAGCGAAAAAGACTGGGAGAATTTTAAACCACTACCTTATTTAAAAATAAGTAGTAACAAATAATCATTGTTATAAAAATAACTCTTCTAGAATGCAAAAAAGTAGTGGGAATTCACTATTTCACATTTTTTTCAAGTATCTCTATGCTCAATCTGTTTTGATAACATAGTTTTGGTGGAAATAAATGAAGAAAATTCAATCTTACCCACATTTGTAGCTGGAAGGAGGAAGGGTGTTCTGATGGCTTTTTCCATGGATTTGAAAGCATCTCTGTACATATTTTGTTCTCTGCCATGTTAAAATCTATTGGTCTCTACAATACTTCGGATCTTTTACAAAGTGCATGATGTTTTGTTTTCTGTTTTTGAGACAGGGTCTCACTATGCAGTTCAGGACGGCCTTGAGCTCACTTTGTAGCCCAGGCTGGCCTCAACTCAGTGATCCACCTGCCTCAGCCTCCTGAGTGCTGGAGTTACAGGTGTGCACCACTACACCTGGCCAAGGTACATGATTTTGTAATGTTACTGCTTGCTTATTTAAGAAATACTGTTCATTGCGTGATACAGCTCTTTAATGGAAATACTGACAATTTCATGATACAGTATAAAAATAACAGTAAGTGTCACCACTGATCTTGTTAGAAAAGTCTTTAGGTATTGGAAAGCTGTCAAGCTTATTGTAGTAGACGCAGATTTTCTAAAAATTGATTTATTTTGTGTGTGTGTGTGTGTGCGCGTTGGGAAGGTGTCTTGCTATGTAACCCAGGTTGCCCCTGGACTGACCCCAGTGCTCCTCCTGCCTCAGCCTCTCAGGTATCTAGGATTACTGCTGTGCACCACTATGCCTGGCTTCAAAATTCAAATTTTGAAAGTAAGGCTCAGAATCTTTCCTTGAAATGGCAAGCTTCCTTCATTCTTTTTCTTCCCCTGAAAACAAGTGGCAAAGCTTTATTTGAAAAATAAAAGCTTTATTTGAAAATTAAAAATAAAAGAAACTGGCTGTGCAGGGGGAGGTGGGCCAGGTAGAAGACAGAAGAACCCTGGGGAAGGCGGGGTGGCCGCTTCCTTCTTCTGTGAGGAAACGTCTGCCAAGCACGTCTGAGTCTACATGCCTAAGTCTGCCAGTCTTTAAAAGTGGAAAGGAAAAAAGCAAAAATGGTGCTGCATGCTCTGACCACGCTAATTCACCACAAAACTCAAACACTGGCCAGCTGAGATGTCCTTACGCTCAGCAGGCAGCAGAAGTGCTCTAGGACTGTTCTCCTTGCGGTCACCTCGATCTCGAAAAGATGTGCATTAAGGGTTGTGGATGGATAAGGCGCATCTTCGCTGCTTTACTGGAGGACGTGTTTGCAGCTTGAAGCACACAGTAGAGAAGAGTATAATGATTTGTAGCACAGTTTGATGTCCTTGCCTTGATTCATGCATTTGGGAATATGGTGGAAAAGGGCAGAGAGTAGCTTCCGATTATGCAAATAGTTTAACCTTCAGGCTGTCAGAATACTTTAATACTTTGACAATCGCTAGTTTGGCCATATGTGATTGTAATTTTGTTTTCCCTGTGGTAGTAGGGATTGAACTCTGGGCCTGTGCATACAGCTACCTCCCCAGCCATTTTTAAAAAATTTTGAGAGCGTTTCATTCAGCCCCTAAGTCAGCCGGTATGGGTTTGAATTTGTGATCCTCTACTTCAGCCTCCGGGAACAGTAGAGTACTGGGGTGACAGGGGTGTGCCACAATGCCCCATTCTTTTTTTTTTTAGAGAGAGAGTCTTGCCAGGTACTCACAACGTAGCCCAGGCTGGCCTTGAATTTGCAGTGATTTTCCTGCCTCAGCCTCCTGAGTGCTGGGATTACAGTGTTCCACTATGCCCAGCCTTCCCATTCTAAGTTTTCAGTAAGTACAGAGAGGCACAGCTTTTATATCTAAGTGTAAGAATGCACACGTGTGTATATTTCTGAACCTCCCTCTGTTGACTGTAGCTCAGTTATACACGCAACAACTCTGTAAGGCAGATTATCACTGCCCCTGTTTTACAGGAAAGATAGCTGGGTAGTAGGTTGAGCGGCTTGTCTAAGGTGGCCAAGCTGGCAGCAGAGCCAAGATTCCAAGTTGGGTCCCGGAGACCACACTCCTCCCTAGTACCACCGAGCGGCTGATCAAGCCCAAGGGGGCCGTTGGCTGTCCTCTGCTCTGTGGGATGGGACCAGCTGGAGGGCGCCTGTAGGGAGAAGGTGCGGGAGTGCGTCGGGCACCCGTCCTGACCTCTGCCCTCTGTCCCTCGCCCTGCAGGATGACTTCTCGGGACCAGCTGGTGGAGCAGGTGCTGAGGGAGCTGCAGGAGGCCGTGGAGTCCGAGGGCCTGGAGGGTCTCGTCAGCGCCGCGCTGGAGGCCAAGCAGGTCCTGTGTTCCTTCGCCCTCCCCACCTGCCGCAAGGGGGGCCCCGGGGCCCAGGTGCTGGAGGTGGACTCGGTGGCCTTGAGCCTGTACCCCGAGGACGCTCCGCGGAACATGCTGCCGCTGGTGTGCCCGGGCGGGGGCAGCCTGCTGTTCGAGGCGGCCAGCCTGCTGCTGTGGGGGGACGCGGGGCTCAGCCTGGAGCTGCGGGCGCGCACCGTGGTGGAGATGCTGCTGCACAGGCACTACTACCTGCAGGGCATGATCGACTCCAAGGTGATGCTGCAGGCCGTGCGCTACTCCCTGTGCTCCGAAGAGTCCCCCGAGATGACCAGCCTGCCGCCGGCCACGCTGGAGGCCATCTTCGACGCGGACGTCAAGGCCACCTGCTTCCCTAGCAGCTTCTCCAACGTGTGGCACCTGTACGCCCTGGCCTCCGTGCTGCAGCGCAACATCTACTCCATCTACCCCATGCGCAACCTCAAGATCCGCCCCTACTTCAACCGCGTCATCCGGCCCCGGCGCTGCGACCACGTGCCCTGCACGCTGCACATCATGTGGGCCGGCCAGCCGCTGTCCAGCCACCTCTTCCGCCACCAGTACTTCGCCCCGGTGGTGGGCCTGGAGGAGGTGGAGGCCGACGACGCGCCCAGCCTGGCCCCGGCGCCTCCAGCCCTCGCGCCGCTGCCCCCGCCCGCGAAGGCCCTGGAGCGGCTCAGCCGGGAGCCCGGCCTCAGCTACTCCCACCTGTGCGAGCGCCACAGCGTCACCAAGAGCACCTTCTACCGCTGGCGGCGGCAGTCCCAGGAGCACCGGCAGAAGGCGGCCGCCCGCTTCTCGGCCAAGCACTTCCTGCAGGACAGCTTCCACCGAGGGGGCGTCGTGCCACTGCAGCAGTTCCTCCAGAGGTTCCCCGAGATCTCTCGCTCCACCTACTACGCCTGGAAGCACGAGCTGCTGGGCTCCGGGGCCTGCCCGGCCCCCACGGAGGCGCTGGCCCCGGAGCCGGGGAAGCTGCCGGGAGAGCAGGCTGCCCGCGACGGGCTGGGCCTCTCCCCGCGGGCGCCCGCCAACCCCGGAATGGTCCTGATGCAGCGCGCCAAGCTGTACCTGGAGCACTGCATCTCCCTGAACACGCTGGTGCCCTATCGCTGCTTCAAGCGCAGGTTCCCCGGCATCTCCAGGTCCACCTACTACAACTGGCGGCGGAAGGCCCTCCGGAGGAACCCCGGCTTCAAGCCGCCCCCGGCCGGCGCGGCTGCTGGGGCTCCCCGGCCAGTGCCCGCCGCGGAAGTGGTCCTGCTCCCTCCGAAGGGCGGGCTGGAGGCGCGGGCGGGGGAAGCCGCAGGCGGTGGGCTCCCCACGCCCGCAGAGGTCCTGCCGCGGCGCGTGCCGCTGTCTCGCTGGCAGAGGCGCCTGCGCAGGGCCGCCCGCAAGCAGGTGCTGAGCGGCCACCTGCCCTTCTGCCGCTTCCGCCTCCGCTACCCCAGCCTCTCACCCTCCACCTTTTGGGCCTGGAAGAGCCTCGCCTGGGGCTGGCCCAGAGGCCTGTCCAAACTCCGGAGGCCGTCCCCCGCCTCAGGCCAGCGGGCGCAGGAGGCCGGGGAGGAGGAGGCCGGCGAGGAGGAGGCCGGCAGGATCGCCACAGCTGTGACGGCCCCACCTGCAGGGGCCCTCCCGCTGGGGGCTTCTTCGGGAGATGGCCCTACCAGGGCCCAGGGAGGGCCTTCCAGAGCGGGGACCCTGCCGGAGGGGGCCGCCGCGCAGGGCCAGCCCCACGGTGGGGCCCTGTCAAGCCACCCTGTGGTGGCGGCCGCGGGCGGGAGGGATGGCCGGGTGCTGGTGATGGACGTGCTCACCACCACGAAGTTCAAGGCCCAGGCCAAGCTGTTCCTGCAGAAGCGCTTCCAGTCCCAGAGCTTCCCCTCCTACAAGGAGTTCAGCGCCCTCTTCCCGCTCACCGCCCGCTCCACCTACTACATGTGGAAGCGGGCGCTCTACGAAGGCCTCACCCTGGTGGACGGCTGACGGGGCAGCGCCAAGGGGCGGAGAGGAAGGGGACCGCAGCCAGGGGGCCAGGGGCCTGCACTGTCCCCTGGCTTGGCCGGGTGCCGTCTGCTCCGGTTCCACGGCGTCTACGCTGGCCCGAGGGCGTATCTGTGTTATTTCCTGGCTCCAGGGTGGAGTGAGCCAGAAACCAGCCATCTGGTCTTCTGTTGAAAGCTGCACCAGCGCAGCTGTTCTGTTGGGTTGTTGGCTGGTCACATTTTTGTTGTTGAGTTTTAGTTTTTGTGTTGATTTAAGTGGGTCAACTGGGCCTCCTCGCTGGTGCTGGAAGCTATGTGTGTGTGTTGGGGGAGGTTGGTTAGCGGAAGCGACTTCCAGCTTTCTCGGGAATAAGAGAAGGCGGAGTATAGCGTGAGTTTCTGTCCTGTGGGGCAGATACGTCTTCATGTCTCCGGGTCGGCACCCGCTTCCCCCAAAGGAACGTGAGAATCGGAAGCGCGTTCCGTCCTGGTGTCTGCCTTGCGTCCCCAGCGGAGGAGCTGCCAGCCTCGGCAGGAGTGGCAGCCGGGATGCACAGAAAGAGCCAGGCAGGCCTCCAAGGCAAGGCCGGACCGAGGACGCCCGAAGTTACGGAGGGGCCGGCCTGTGCCCTACAGGGAGCCTGGACGGGCGGAAGGAAGACCTGACCCATCGCTGGGGCTGCCCACGGGCCTCTGCTAGCTGCCGGCCATGGGCACCCTGCCTTTCTGTTGAGCCCCCTCAAAGCCTGAGCCACTTCTTCAGTGAGGGGCCCCTGGGGGACAGACGGGTGGGGGACTGAATTTGCATGACCCACGGGTAAAGTTGGAGAACCCAAGAAATAAAGTGATGCGGTGCCCGTAGCCCTTGGTCTCCGGTGTGTGTTCATCTTGCTCTTCGGCTTCATGGGCTGGAGCGACCCTTTCTGCCTCTGGAGGGGACAGGTGCAGGGCCTTGGTGGATGGAGGAGGCTACTTTGGAGGCTCCGCCTTGAACTGGATCCGGAAGCAACAGCCAGGGCGCTTTCAGCCAGGGGTGGGCTTGGCCACCTGGAAAGACTTCGCTCCTCCCACTAGCGGGGAGGCCTTGTCTCCCCGGGGCACTCCAGGCCAGGCCAGCAGGAGTGCGGAGTCTGTGGCGGCTCTACTTGCTCCTCACCGTGTGCTCTGCAGACCGGGCCGGTCACAGACGGACGCGAACCTGTGTGCTCAGTTCTCAGGGCCCTCCGTCTGTGGGGCTGGACTCAAAGATAAGCCTTTGCTTACCGGGGAGGCCCCGCAAGGTGGACGTTCACTGAGGCGCTTTTCCTCCTGTCCAGGTTTCCCATAGTGGCTGTCACGTTTGTTCTGGGGACTCCTTTTTTTGGGGGGGTTGAGACAGGGTCTCACTGTGCATTTCAGGCTGGCCTCCAGCTCATGGGGACCCTCCTGCCTCAGTGTCCCGCGAGCTGGGGTGACAGGTGTGCGCCGCCATGCCTGGTGTGGCTCTGCTGTTTGTTCAGCCCCGCCGACTCCATTCCGGATCGCACCCAGACCCTCCCTCCCTCTGCTGTCCGGGTCACGGCTTCCTGCCCCATCTCCCTGTGCTCCTGCTGCTTGCCTACCACCCCATACATCCCTTCCCCACAGGGCAGCTAGAGAAGTCTCCCCTTCCTGCCTAAAACGCATCTGTAGCTTACCTTCGCTCCTAGAGTTCCTTCCGCAGCCTTACAGACGCCTGTGTAACCCGGGCCCTGACTCAGCCTGGGAGGCTGAAGCAAGAGAATGGGGCCCAGCCGGGGTGACTTAGTGAGATGCTGTCTCAAAATAGATTAAACAAACAAATAATAAATAGGTCAGTGTGAAAACCCGGGGTTCAATCCCCAGTACCATTTCTTTCTCTCCCCCTCCCCCTCCCCATCTCTTCTCCCCTTTCCTTCCCTCCTACACACACACACACACACACACACACACACACACACACACACACACACACACACACACACACACGATGTGCAGGGCTTTTTCCTAAGCGTACATCACTGTATTTCCAGAAGGTGAATTAGTCACTGGTGCATAGTAGGTGCTAATGAAACGGGCTTTATGGCTTCTCTTCTGTTATCCTTTGGGACTTGGTTTTATCAAACCTGATCAGCCCTACTTCCTAGATATTTCTCATAGACCAGTTTTTTGCCCCACCTTTGCAGCCAGTCTGTAATCTATGCTCTTTTTTTTCCCCCAGTACTGGGAATCGAACTCACGACCTCGCACTTGCCAGGCAGGCACTCTGCCGCTGAACTAAACCCCCAGCCCCTGTAATCTATGCTCTTGTTGATCCTGGAATGCTTCCCCAATAACTTGGCCTCCACTCCAAGGCTCCTATTCCATCCTGGAAAAGCCCAGAACAATCCTACTGACCCCTGAATTTCCCGCGGCCCTTAGCATGGAATCCCAGCGAGTGACACAGCTTGCCCTGTTCAGTCCTGACTGACCTCTCTGGCTCGTTCCTCCCATACGTGTACCCTATCCAGGTGGGCCCCTCACCGCGCTGCTTCCTCCTGTCCGTGGCGTAACACACAGGATGTTGTGGGTGTGTCTGTCTCACCACCGGGACAGCCCTGGGGTCCCCAGTGAGGCCTCATCACCAGTGTAACCTCTTAAGGTTTAGCAAAAGGGTTGGCAAGGGACGTTCCTACCTGGTCTGTGACAGCAGCCTGGAGCCAGCAGATGGCAATGTAGTGCAGCAAAAGGAAGCCTAAGGGTCCCCTGCTGGGCACAGCCCAACTGGGTTCTACCCTGTACCGCTCTGGCTGTCGGAGGGTGGCCTTCCACCTCGTCCTTGGCGAAACCCTGACGGGGCTCTGGATTCTGTTTTCTCTCTTCCCTGCCCTCAGAATCAGAGCAGGTCCTTTGACAGCTGGAGGAGCCCCCAGTGGGATCTAAAAACCATCTGGGATTTTAGGGGGATCTAAAATTGAGTTAGAGGGCTGGGGATTTAGCTCAGAGGCGCAGCGCCTGCCTGGCAAGTGCAAGATCGTGAGTTCGATTCCCAGTACCGGGAAAAAAAAAAAAACCTAAAAAAAAAAGAAAATTGAGTTAGGGATGGAGCTCAGTGGTAGGCTGTTTGTCTAGCATATGCTAGACTTTGGGTTCGATCTTCAGCTCTGCAAAAGCACACACAACATGGATCGCTGCCCTGGGTAGTAGGGCTTGTTGGGAGTGTAAGTTCCAGGGCCACAGCCAGACCCACTGACTCCTACTTATACAAGGAGAGGGAGCAGATGTATGGGGTGATTTCTCCCACCGAAGCTGGGGACGCAGTCCTGCCTGTGATGGGGTGCACTGCCCGGGGGAAGAGTCCCTGGAGTGTCTGCTAGCAGTAAGCATGGTAGAGAACATTCTAGAACACTCAACTTTCTGGCCAGTTCGGCTGATAACAGGGCGGGGTCCAGCTGGAGAAGTCCTGCAGTCCAGCTCAGGGTTTCCTTCAAGGTTAAACGCACTACTGTCGCAAGGCAAGAAGTTCTTTTGTCAGAGACCAGCAGTGAGGCCTAAGCCTGCAGCAGAAATTTTAGCTTCTGTTGGAAAAAATAAAGTGATGTCGATATTTATTGATTTGAGAAAGGTTTTTATAAGTAGGATTAAATTATTTTTGTGCAGAAAGGCTGTTGCCTTTATAATCAGCTTAGAAAGGCAGGGATACCCATGCTGTGACCGTATTTACTAAGAAGGCTTCATGCTGATTTTCAAGTTGACATTTGTTGAAAAAAAATTATTTTGGGTATCACTTTCTACCTTGGTTGCAGGTAGAGGAAGACATTTCGGTGAAATTAACAGTGTGGGTAAAGGAGGAAAAAATGAGTTAACTTTAATATTGTCTCAACAGTCTGTGCAGTTAGGTCATGATTAGCTCCAACCATTGAAAATACGAAACAGGTGAGATGTGTATAATTTTTTTCCGTATCTCTGTAGTTATCCTGCGGGAGGGGGCTGTATTTTGGTGGAGATCATCTCGTCTACCATACGTGAGGTTGCTCCTCAAACATCTCTGAGTCCCGCACACGGGGCTCCGGCACTGCCGGCTCCTGGGCCCTGGGCGCCCAGCTCACCCCCTCAGCTGCGCCTTCGGATGCACTAGTGCCTGGCCTGGCACCGTCACTCAGGCTCACCACCCCCCCACACTAACCCACTCTTCGTCACTCTGCTGCTGCAGGGTCCTGTTATCCGCTGAACTGACCAGAACGCTGAGTGTTCTAGAATGTTCTGTCCCACATCTCCGGCCCAGCAGACCCTAGGGACGGTGCAGGCTCCGTAGCATTGCACACAGCTGGGGTATCACAGGAAGAGATTTAAAATTTTCTTTCTTTTTTGGTGGTGCTGAGTATTGGACCCAGGGCCTTCACACCCACACAGCTCCATCCCTAAGACCTTTTAAAAACTTTCTGAGGGGATGTGGCTCAGCGGCACAAGTGCCAGCCTGGCAAGGGCCAGGTCCTGAGTTCAATTCCTGGTACTAAAAAAAATAAAACTTTGATTTCTGAGACAAGGTCTCAACAAGGTGCTAAGTTTCCCAGGCTGGGTTCAAACTTTCTGTCTTCCTGCCTCAGCCTCCCGGAGTGCTTGGCTTATACACGTGTGCCACCATGCCCAGCAGGAAGAGAATCTGATTTTGCCCAGTTTATCCCCACCCTGTTCCCCAAGCACAGCTCCCACCAGACAGGCCGCGTCACACCCGTGGCCCCTGGCCAGCCTGAGTCTGGCCCAGTTGTCTGCGGCCAAGGTGCTGGCCAGCCTTGGCTGACGAAGGGACCCGGCAGGTAGAACAGGCTGCAGGCTAACTGTCAGGCAGGGGCCTGCGCTGCAAGCAGAGGAGATGGTCTCTGGGCTCTTGTGTTTCCAAGGCTTCCGTGTGTGGGCAGGTGTAGCGTGACACAGAGTGACAGGAGCCCACAGGAAATGTGTTCAGTGCAATCAAGGACGCACGTTCAGACTGCCTGGTGTCTTGTTCTCCTCTCCGCAACTTGTAGCTGCTTTGGGCCAACTCTGGGACGCCTGGGCTGCCTGGGAGGCCGTGGGGAACGCCTCAGCTGCCCCTCAGGCGACCCTGGCCTGCCTCGGCTGCCTCCTGGGGGCTGAGGGAGCAGCTCAGTTGTAGAGCACTTGCCTGGCATGTGGGAAACCCTGGGTTTAGGCCCCATTTATCCCAGTTTGGCGGCTGTCACAGGAACATGGGCCCTGGGGGACAAGAGCCCTGCCGTCAGGCGGTCGGGGAGGGAGCCGGAAGGCTAAGGGCAGATAGGCTCCAAGCAAGTGTGGGGCTGGGAGTGCCGGGTGCTGCCCCTCCCCCAGACCCAATGTGAACTTCCCCTCCTCGCCCCTGGCCGGCAGCACCCAGGTTACCTGTAGGGTGCCCGTGGCGAGCTCACCTCATGGGCGAGGAGGAGGGGAGCTTTCAGGGCGATGAGAAGCAGCAGAAAGTAGGTTTAACGGTATAAAAATTTTCCATGGAAAATGACTTTGAAAGTAGCATGAAATCTGCTTAACTCTAGTAGCTGTTGGGCGCTGGGCAGAGAGCCGGGGGCACGGAGGGAAGCCGGGAGAGGCTGGCGGCAGCTGCCGTGACTCACCCTCCGCCTGGGGACCACAGGGCTCGCAGAAGGCAGAAAGGCCACAGGACGCCCTCACCAGGGCCTCGCCCGCTCCGGACAGCAGCCCTCGCTCTAGGAGAGGGAGGTGCTAGGGAGGGCTGGGCGCTGTTGGGGTCCCCCACCCCCCGTCTCAGGGGGTGCTTCTGCCAGTTCCTGGCCTCCCTGACTTGGGGAAGAGTTACCTGTTGCCCCTGAGGTCGGAATTGGGAACGTAGCTGGCTGTATCCAG